GCCGGGCCCCAAGCCACCCACGGGCGCCCTCGGCCTGGGGCACAGCCTTCACCCCGCTGGCGCCTCCCGCCCTCCAGTCGCGGGAAGAGCTCCGCGCCCGCAGCCCCCACTGGAGGGGACGGTGTGGGCGCCGGGTCCCCGGCACTCACCTGCGCCGCGGCCACCTCAGCGCCAATCCCGGGTCGGGCTCGCGGATCCGTGGCTCTCACCCAGTCAATGCGCGGCGGCGCCTTTGCGCATGTGCGGATGGAGCGGGGACGGGGGTGGGGGTGGGGTGAGGGGAGAGTCGCGAGGCGCGCTGGGAGTTGTAGTCTTTGCCGTGGCGAGACAGGACCGCGCCTTCGGCGATGAATCTGCGTCGCGGGCGGAGCAGCCCGGGATAACGGCGAGTGAAGCAGCTGTCAGGACACATAGACTCCGCAAGGCCGGGGAGCGCTCCTTCCTGGCGCAGAACCAGCCTTGTAGCGGCCTGGTACCCTCCCACAATGCTCAAGGCCTTGGATGGGATGGTGCCCACGAAACAACGCTTAGTGGTAGAGTGCTTGCCTTGAATGCATGAAGTCCTGGGTTCGATTCCTCCGCACCACATAAGCAGAAAAAGCCGGAAGTGGAGCTGTGGCTCAAGTGGTAGAGCGCTAGCCTTGAGCAAAAACAGCTCAGGAACAATGCCCAGGTCCTGAGTTCAAGCCCCACGACCAACTCCCCCCCCCCCCAAAAAAAAGGTATTTATGATGCGGTAGGGCTGGCCTCCTTCGGAGGGGTCCCGAAGCTTCGAGAGCATCTGCCATGTCTGCCTGGACACCTCAGTTCTAGAGACAGAACCCTAGCCTATTCATTAAACTAAATACTGTCTGTGGTGGTGTTGGCAGGGGCGTGTCACAGACAAGGCTGTGAGAGGTGCCGCACCACCAAGCACCTTGGCTTTCTCAAGACTCCTGTGCTGAAAGCAGGGTGAATTTTTCCACTCCTGCTCTCCAGAAGACCTGGCCAAAATAATGAAAGCTAGGAAGTAGCAGTGCAGGATCTGAGACCAAATTCATTTTTCTTCCCAACACACAGCACTGCCTAATTGTGTGTGCTCCCTCACCTGACAGCCCACATATTATTCTTTTTTTTTTGGGGGGGGGGGTCCGGTCATGGGGCCTGAACTCTGGGCCTGGGCGCTGTCCCTCAGCCCTTCAGCTCAAGGCTAGCGCTCTACCACTTGAGCCACAGCGCCACTTCCGGCTTTTTTCTTTTGCTTATGTGGTGCTGAGGAATCGAACCCAGGGCCTCAGGCATGCAAGGCAAGCGCTCTACCACTGAGCCACCTTCCCAGCACCAATATTATTTATTCTTTGCCAGTACTGGGCAATGTGCTATACCACTGAGGCATACCTCCAGCCTTTCTCTGTTTACTTATGTTGATTTATCCCCTTGTTATAGGGAGTTGGATTTAGATACAGAGGTTGAATCAGGAGTCTTTATTAGAAAGCTGGTGTCAGCCAGGAGACATTTGTCTCAAAGACTTGCAACTTCAAAAGCAGTTAATATCATTAGGAAACTGAGCCATGAGGGTGTTAAGAGCAGGAAATAATCTCAACAGACCAGATCAATTCTGATGGAGAGTTGAAGAGATGACCTGAAGAGTCAGGAGACCTAAGGCAGCAGGGGTGGAGGGGCTATTTAAATAGAGTCATGGTTAGGGGCAAGGTCACAGGTAGCTTGGGAGTTTAGAGTCTTGCGAGTTTATGGTACAGGTCTGGCAGATCTGGGAACCTATTGTTTAAGTCTCCACCACCCCCTTCATCTGCTTCTCCGAGTTCAGGCTCCTAGCACATCGGGTGGGGATGAGGAAGTGGAATTTCATCTCTGGTTTTCAGAAAGTCACCATCATGTATTAAGATGCCAAGATGGTAGTGAGGACAAGATGGCCTTACTTAGACACAGTATCCATATTTCACCCTTATCCTCTATTCAAGACAGAATATCTTTCATGGTAAGCAACCACTTAATACAGTCAGCCTGTATCCTCACTGACCACACTGAAGCTGATGAATCTTTCTGAGCTCAAGAAGGAAAATGATGCTTTCTGATACCATGTCAGAGCTTACTGTACAACTCCAGCTCACTTGATCCTTGTAACACTTAAAGAATCTAAACTATATGCTTCTACTATAGGCTAGTTTTACAAATATCAGGTTCTCCCAGTTCTTAAGTGAAATCTAAGATCAAGAGGGGAAGAGGCCAATAAATGCAGTGTTGAGAGTAAAACAGAAAACCAGTTGTCCTGTTCACACAAATCCTCATGTCAGATGGCGCCAAGCTTGGAGCACTGCCTAACCATAGTTAACCCTAAAGCAAGCAGGAGTGTTCTCTCCAATCAACCCACAGCTCACCCTAGGCTAACTGGGGTTACATGGAAAAATAAGGTTAGATTGTAAATCTATATGCACCAAGTAAACATAAACAAGAGAATGTTAAAGAGTAATGTACAAACCCACCCATTCAAACTAACCAAGAAGATGAACAGGCCAAACCAGTCACTAGTGGCCAGAAGTGTAACAGAATTGTAGAACAAGACTATCTTGTTCCTTTCTATGAGGAAATTTATTAACCACAATCTCTGGTATTGACATCCTCAGTATGGCTGGCATGTAATGTGATTCTTCACATTACACTGATTTGCTGCTTCCTCTGAGCAGCCCATCCCAGAGCAGAAAGAATGATCGATGTCCATTTACTTTTCTTCAGCTGGATCTATGATGAATATAGTAATGAACACCTATCTGTGGTCCCAGCAACTCAAGAGGCTCGGGCAGAATCTAAGTCTGAGACCTAGCTAGACAACACAGTGAAACCTTGTCACACAGGCCAAAATTCACAAGAGGATTAATTTTAGGAGTAGCTATGGTATCCCACAGGTTAGGTGTATTAAATGCATGGCTTCATGTGACCCATTTTTCTATACTCAACTTTACACCAGTTTAATGGACTGCCTTCCACTTTTTCCCATAAGTCGAAGTGTTTATGGCTATTGCTGGTTTTGGTGCTGAGTCAAACCCAGGGCCTAACACATGCTAAGCAAGCACATTAAGCTAAACTTTCACACCCAATTTAGAACTAATTTTGATGTAATATAATTGGAAATGATCTAGCCTTTTTCCTCAGGACTAGCCTTCCAGCTCCTGCAGAACATGGATTGCTGTGTGATTGGGCAACTACTGGGGCCCAAACCATCTCAGACAACTAACAATGAGAGCTGGTCTCTGGCAAACCCAGCTACGGAGTCTTAACTGAATTGTGGTTCAGGAAAATACAATACAACAGAAAGGACTAAGTGTATGGCTTGAATAGTAGAGTTGCCCCCTATGTAAGCAGCAGGAAAATGTAAGCAGGAAAATACAACTAAAAAGGACTAAGGGTATGGCTTGAATGGTAGAGTTGCCCACTATGTAAGCAGCAGAAGGACGAGGTCCTGAGTTCACTCCTCAATACCACTAAAAACAGAGTTTAGCTAGGCACTGGTGGCTCACGCTTATAATTCTGGCTACTCAGGAGGCTGAGATCAGAAGATAGCCCAAGCAGGAAGTCTGAGAGACGCTTATCTCTAATTAACGACCACAAAAGCCAGAAATGGTGCTGTGTCTCAAGTGGTACAGTGCTAGCTTTGAGCACAAAAGCTCAGGGACAGTACCCAGACCAAGTTTAAGCTGTAGGACTGGAACTAAGGGGAAAAAAAAGTTGACCAGTGAGTGAAGAGAATGAATCACTTCTCATGATGAGATCAAGATGTTTGGAGGTTAGCTGTTTATCCCACAGACCAAGTATTCAAAACTGAACCTGAGTGCTGAAGTTTCAGGTGGCTTTTTCTTGACATTGTTATCATTAACACATTCTAAAAAATCTCAGCTCTGGCTCATACTGTTTCTTTACATTTATTCTTGTCAGATGCTACAAATAAATACATACGATAGCTTTCTATCAACTGAAAATCCAATAAACAAAAACTTCCTATTTCATTTACACTGAAAATTACGTAGAGTGGGGGCTGGGAAGGTGGCTCAGTGGTAGAGCGCTTGCCTTGCATGCCTGAGGCCCTGGGTTCAATTCCTCAGCACCACATAAGCAAAAAGAAAAAAGCTGGAAGTGGCGCTGTGGCTCAAGTGGTAGAGTGCTAGCCTTGAGCTGAAGAGCTGAGGGACAGTGTCTAGGCCCAGAGTTCAGGCCCCAGGACCAGACCAAAAAAAAAAAAAAATTACGTAGAGTAAGCCCAGGTCAGCACTAGTCTTTCCTTCTAGCTGGCTAATCCATAACCCAACTTTCTTTGGCCCAGTTGGTTCCATTAGCTCTCAACTCATGTAACAAGGATTGGAAACTTTGAGACACTGTGATGAAATCAACATTCCCAATCAGTGCTTCCCTACACATACGCTTAGCAGAAGATGAAACAAGTCAGAGGCACTTGAGCTGAGGAGGTCTGGCAATTATATCCATTTATTTGTGTATTTATTGTCAATTCAACTCTTATTACTTATTCTAGCAGAAATTGATTGAATACAAAGGTATCTACTGGCTTTAGGTCTTAGATGAAGACCGCCTCCAGGAGGGACGACAAGGATTTCTTGCTGAGTTAAGTGAACAGATGCGAAGGACTACACAAGTAAAAGGTCAAACTGTAGATGTTACATGGTGGAATGGCCTACTCATACAAACATCCTGCTTTGTCATCAGTGCGGTATTTAACAAGTCACCATCCTTTTATAAACAGGCCTTACTAATGGTTTTTCCTAAGGTTAGGTTAATGTAAGTGTTCCGAGCACATTAGGCTAAACTTGCGTGTTTGATTTTCACTTATGATGAGTATTACTCATAATCCCTCAGCCACCTGTAGACTTGAGACAGCCATGAAAGAGCAGGAGTGAGGCATGCTTATTATGTAGTTTGAGTTGCTATACAGAATGAAATCAACAATGCACTGGGCATCTGCAAACTCCAAGGCAAGTGAAGCACTACAGAAACACTGTATTAACGTTAAGGCAGCAAGTTTTTAGTGTGTGTATCATTAATGAGGCTTGAACTCAGGGCCCTGTGCTCTCACTTGGCTTTTTTGCTCACTGCTTAGTCTATCACTTGAGCCACACCTGTAGTCCTAATGCGTCAGTTCTTGAGGTAAAGTGAGGTATTGTAATAACACTATTTTCATGGCCCAATAAAAAAGTGACAAACTCTCAGTAGTGTTCACTTAATTCTTTCCCAGCATCACAGACATAGTTCTGCTTTCACCTTCATCACACTTTCATATGGTCCTAGCAAGGGATACACCTCTTCTTCTAAGAACCTCTGCACCTGCCAGAGAGGAAAGCAAAGAAGATGAAACATGTTTAGGCAATAGCTCTCTCAGGCATGCTACAGCTTCACCATGCCTCAAGCCAGTGTCTTTCCAGTCAGTTGATATCACTGACACCCAGTTTGATAATTTCTGTGTATGTGTGTGTGCGTGTACACGCGCGCGCGCACGCACCATTATTGGGGCTTGAACTCAGGCCTGGGCTGTGTCTGAGCCTTTTTTTTTTTGGCACGAGGCTAGCATTCTACCATTTGAGCCACAGCTCTACTTTTGGCTTTTTGCTAGTTAAATGGAATCTCATAGACTTTCTTGCCTGGGCAGGCTTTGAACTGTAATCCTCAGATTTCAGTCTCCTGAGGAGCTAGGATTATGGGCATGAGCTACTGGCGCCAGGCTTCAGTTTGACAGCTTTATTCTACTACTGAGCATTTACTTTATTGGATAGTCTCTTAGAAATGCCCACCTGGCCCATTGGCTCATGCCTGTAATCCTAGCTACTTAGGAGGCTGAGATCTGAGGATTGTGGTTCAAAGCCAGCCCGGGCAGGAAAGTCCATGAAACTCATCTCCAACAACCACCAGAAAACTGTAAGTGGTGCTGTGGCTCAAGTGGTAGAGTGCTAGTCCTTTTTTTTTTGTGTCCGGTTGTGGGGTTTGAACTCTGGGACCTGGGCACTGTCCCTCAGCTCTTCAGCTCAAGGCTAGTGCTCTATCACTTGAGCCACAGTGCCACTTCCGGCTTTTTTCTTATGTAGTGCTGAGGAATCGAACCCAGGGCCTCATGCATGCAAGGCAAGCACTCTACCACTGAGCCACCTTCCCAGCCCATAGAGCGCTAGTCTTGAACTGAAGAGCTTAGGGAGAGCGCCCAGGCCCAGAGTTCAAGCCCCATGACTGACAAAAAAAAAAAAAAAATTGTTCCCCTGGACATAGGTGCTGTAACCAATACATGTGTGCAGACAAGTTCAGCCCATGTTCTCTGAGTTGGTCTTATCACTTTGACGCAGTCACTACCCTGAAATCCTCACAGATCCACATGGACCACAGCATCTTGGCTCCAGATCCTTCTCACCACTGCTTGGCTATTGGCTGTGACCTTCCTAATGGTGTTCCTACTTACCTCCAGTCTGAAGTCTTTTCAAATCAAACTTTTGTATAACAAATATAAATATAAATGACAAACTCCTGTTGGTCTTAAGTTTCAAATCTTGTTACTTCCTAGCCACTAATTAGCGACTGGCAAGAATCTACTAAGTATAGATGCTCTCTGGGAATGCTCAACCTAGCATTCCCAGGCTAACCCCTACCCATCAGCTTCCATACATGGTCTTCTCTCTACACTCAAAGAGATGTCTCATTGTGATCCTACCAAAAGATGTGCTTCTTAGTGGTGCTGTGGCTCAAGAGGTAGAGCACTCGCCTTGAGCTGAAGAGCTGAGGGACAGCGCTCAAACCCAGAGTTCAAGCCCCATGACAGACAAAAAATAAAAACTCAAAACCCAAAAGATGTGCTCCAGTCTCAGTGACTGCTTGGTAATGTGATGATTCATTTGTGAGTTCTGAGCGCAACGAAGGCAAACACTATTTTTCGCTAAATCCTCAGAATGAAATACAGTACTAACCATACATGTACCAAGTCCCTAGTATGTATTTCAAGAGATTTTGTTATTGTTTTTCTTTATTGGTGGTGATAGGCAAATGCTCTCTCCTAGAGCTAAATCCCCAGCCTGAGTAAGGTTTTCAAATGAACTCTTATTCGTCACTTTAAAAGGCTGAGATAAAGCTAGGTGCCTAGCTATTCAGGAGGCTAAGATCTGAGGATCACGGTTCTAAACACACAGGAAAATCCCATGAGACACTTCTCCAATTAACCACTAAAAAAGCTGGAAATAGAGCTGAGGATCAAATGGTAAGAGTGCCAGCCTTGAGCATAGAAACTCAGGGATAGGGCCCATGTCCTGAGCTCAAGTCTCAGGACCAGGACACACAAAAAAGGAAGGGATGCCTTTCTGACTACAAAGCACTCAGCTGGACATTTCAATCCACATGACTCCACAGTAGGACAGCAAACTGAGAAATCCAGAGGGAACAAGTACTTTGGGCCATTAAAAAGCCACCTGTTTACACTTCAGACAGAGCCTATTCAATTTTACTAACTAGCCCCATCCCCACAAAGGAACAGCATTCCAGATAGCACTCTGGGTTCTGCAGGCCAGCAGTACAGAAGAGGCCATGGGGTGACTTGTCTGGAAGCTTCTGCAGGATGCTTACCTGCTGAGGTGCACGGCCAGTGAAGGAAGCGGGATCCAGCAAACGCTCCAACTGGGAGTGAATGGGGCTAAAGTAGGCATCAGCCTGGATCCGCTCCAGGAGGTCATTGTCACCCCCTTCCTGCTTGACCACGGCTGCTGCCTGCTGGGAAAGCACTCGGATTTTCTCATGGCAATCCTGAGGAGAGCAAAGTCAGGTCACTTCACTGTTGGAAGGGCATTTCAACACCCAGTGAGCAGTCATCAGACTCTACACGGTTGAGGTGGTATCTCTCAGTCTGACCTCACCAGAATTCTAACTGACCTTAGGTAGATGTTCCATGTCTCAAAAACGACAGAATGATTTCTTCTTGATTACCTGCGTACTAAATTTACTGTGGAAATTCAGACCTAATTCTTCACTTTCTCCATATGTGATTAGTGACTTTTTTCCCCCATCAGTCATGGGGCTTGAACTCAGGGACTGGGCACTGTCCCTGATCTCTTTTGCTCAAGGATAGTGCTTTACTACTTTGAGCTACATTACCTCCTCCAACTTTCTGGTGGTTAATTGGAGATAAGTCTCACAGACTTTCTGCCTGTGCTGGCTTTGAATCATGACCCTGAGATCTCAGCCTCCTGAGTAGCTAGTATTACAGTCAAGAGCCATCAGTGCCCGGTGATTGGTGATTTTTAATACCCTTGAATTCAATATAATCACCCTCTAGATATGGCGAACCATCCTTCATGGAGGAGAGAGCAGGTCTAAAGGTGTGCTCTCCATTTATCCAAGAGCATGAAGGCCTACACACCTGCCTGTTACCCCCAGCCTTGACCATTGCCATGATGATGTTCTCTGTGGCCATGAATGGCAGCTCTTGACGAATGCGCCGCTCAATTACCTAGTAGAAAAAGGGGAGGGCCAAGACAGAGGCAGTTACACAGTGACACAGCACAAGATCAACTACATCAGGCAAAATGCAGTGTGGACACAAACTACCATTATTTAACAGAGGTAGAGGTGCAACGAGATGTAGTATTCAGTAATGTAAATTCTGATTTAGTTTTTTTTTTTTTGCCAGTCCTGGGGCTTGAACTCTGAGCCTGGGCCCTGTCCCTGGGCTCCTTTTTGCTCAAGGCTAGCACTCCACCACTCGAGCCACAGCACCACTTCTGGCTTTTTCTAGTGGTTTTTGGAGATCAAGAGTCTCAGAGCCTTTCCTACCCAAGTTGGCTTTGATCTGTGATCTTCAGATCTTAGCCTCCTGAGCAGCTAGGATTACAGGCGTGAGCCACCAGCACCTAGAACAAGGTAACTTTCAAAAGCTACTTTTTGGAACAACTAAAGCTTCAAATTTGTAAATTCAATGTGAGGCCTTAAGGCTGAGTGAAAGTGCCTTAAAACGGGGCAGGTGCTGCTACCTCCTCGCTCTAGGCACTGGAGCTGCGGATTCATGCCAGCTGATAGTGCAAGGCAACTGAAGTACTCATCTCAATTCCACACACTTGTCGGTGAGTTCCTCAGACCTAGGGGTAGGATGAGCTCCTCCCCCTTCCCACACCCCAGTGTCTCCCCAGTATTTTGCTTTTTTAATCAAGACCTCTTACTTTGGGGTACACCACCAATCCTTCTGAAATGTTCTGCAGTGTATTCAATATGGTATCTGCAGTGAGAAAGGCTTCGGCCAAACAGATCCGTCTATAAAACAAACAGCCATTCCATTACCCATCTAAACAAATGTTAGAGGTAGGCAGGGGTCTATGGCAGGAAACTGAGCTGTTGCATTCACATGTGCATGTTCTCCCTGGACAAGTTTCTTCAGTCTGAAGACTTCAAGTGTCCCCTCTAGTCCAGACCAGTTGCTAGTGGAAAGCTCTAGTAGCTGACTTAAACATTTCAAACCCGAACTGCATCTATTCTTCCTCACTACCTCCTGCTTACCAGTACAAACTTGTTCTCTCCTCGTGGTTCTGGCCTTAGTCAAGGCAGCAGCACCCAGTCACCAAGTCCTGGAAAGAGTCCAGATACCCTGCCATGCAAGCCAGTCTGCCACCTCTGGCTTTTGTCTGTCACTTGTGGAGCTTGACCTCAGGGCCTAGGTGCTGTCCCTGAGCCAGGCACAGCACCACTTCTGGTTTTTGAGTCATTAATTGGAGGTAAGAGTCTCATGGGGACTTTTCTGCCTGGTCTAGCTTTGAACTGTGATCCACAGATCTCAGCTTCCTGAGTAGTTAGGATTACAGGCATGAGCCACTGGTGCCTGACCTGCCTCTGGCTCTTTATGTACATGGTTCCACTCTATTTTTGTGGTCACTAGGCTAATGTAGGCTTGGAATCTAATGTTAACCCCTGACTTGTTCAGATGGGATCTAAACACTTTATATGATTCTTTTTTTTTTTTTTTGATTTGGCATTTGCAAGGCTTGGAACTCAGGGCCTGGGCACTGTCCCTTAGATTTTTCCCTCAAGGCTAGCACTCTACCACTTTGAGTCACAGCTCCACTTCCAGTTTTCTGGTGGCCAATTGGACATAAAAGTCTCACTAATGCACGGGTTGGATTTATGGCAGGCCTGTCCCTCTGGGCCTTTCATACTGTCCTATGCCAGAGCAAACTGTGGTTCTGAACCATTGCCTGGCCTATGGGCTACTGGCACTGAAGGGGGTTGCACAGAGGGGGAAAAAAAAAAAGAGTCTCATTGACTTTCCTGCTCAGTCTGGCTTCAAACTGCAATTCTCAGATCTCAGACTCCTGAGTAGCTAAGATTACAAGAGTGAGCCACCAGTGTCTGACTACACTGATTTTTTTTTTTTTTTTGGCCAGTCCTGGGGCTTGAACTCAGGGCCTGGGCACTGACCTTGGGCTTCTTTTGCTCAAGGCTAGCACTCTATACCACTTGAACCACAGTGCCACTTCCAGGCGTTTCTGTTTATGTGGTACTGAGGAATCAAACCCAGGGCTTTGTGCATGCACTCTACCACTAAACCACATTCCCAGCCTAGAACTGATTCTTTAAATTGTAGCTAGGATGTTTAGCAGGTCACAGCTTCTTAAAAACAGTACAGTTGACTCTCAGAATCCAATAATTCAGCATCCATAGATTTAACCAACCATGGACTAACATTACTTGGGAAAAATATTTCATTAGAACTGAACATATGAAGTTTGTTTTTTTTTTGGTATTTCCTAAAGGATACAGTGTAACAATTACTTATTTGGCATTTACATGACAGGTACCACAAGTAAACCAGAGGTCTTTTAGAACATATGGAACATATGCGTGTTACATGAAATACTACACTGTTTTACACGGTAGCCTTGAGCACATGCAGGTTTCAGGATGCACACTGTCCCGGAACCAAGCCCCCACAGACACTCAGGGAAAACGGTACTAATAACTGACTTCAGAACCAGTTCACATGACCTACTTCTACTGGTTAGCCCAGGACAGATCCCAGAGAGCTAGCCAGCTTTATGCCTTTCCACTTAAATCTCAGGCTTGGGCAGGAAAATCACAAGTTTCAGACCAGCCTGGGTTACATATCACGATCTTGTTCAGGGCAAAAATGAAATCCTATTGCACTGCAAAGCAGGCAAGAATGTGAATGTAAGCCTGCTCCTTTTAAAGCATAACAAACAGACAAACAACGACAACAAAAAAAACAACCGGGGACTGACCACAGGACGTCCTACTTGCTAGGTAAGCTCTCCACTTCAGCTATACCCCCCCCCCCCCGCCCTGTGAGCCTGCCTTAAAAGTGCATGTAGAGTCATGAATGCTGGTATTTTATGGGTAATTACAAATTACTTCTTACCCAAATATATCACCCCGGACATTTGCCCTCAGAGTAGAGTGGGAACTATGAGGCCTTGGGGAAAATAGCTTCTTCCTGTGATCATATCATGCATGGCTTCATCTCCTCACACTACTCAGCTATTAGTGGGTTGCTAAGCTATTCTTCCTCCCACCTTTATGCTTTTATACACATAGGATCTGATCTTCAACTGCCTATGCTATGTAATCACAGGGGCACTGCCTTGTCTATGAAGTTTGCCTGAATCCTCCCACACTACTCTCTCCTCGGTGCTCCAACAGCTCTTGCACATGGGGTCACATACTCAGTATGCCAATCTTTGTTTTTGCTGTCCTGCTACTCAGGGTTCCTAGGATAGGGAGGGAGGCAGAAGAGTTCATTGTCCTTTTGCTCCCAGGCCACCTCTCTCAGTCCTCTTCCCAGAGTGCTGTTTGTGATGTCTCTGCTGTGCTTACCGGTTAGCACTATCATCCAGTGTGCGCTCAAACCACTGCACGGAAGCAGTCTGCAGCGGGTCCAGGACCAGCGTCATCAGGTGACGAGCAAGGCTGCAGCAACGTTCTGAACGCATGGGGTTCCGCTTGTATGGCATTGCACTTGAGCCTGTCCAGGACAAGATGCAAAGGCAGAAAGACTTCTGGGACAGCAAAGGTGCAAGCATGCCAATGGGGAGTTTTAGCACGAGCGCACGCCTTTCCAGCAGGTCTGTGGTGTTCCCAGATCTCAACCTAACACTCACCAATCTGCTGTTTTTCAAAGGGTTCCTCCATCTCCTTGAGGTTCGCCAGGAGGCGTATGTCTGTGCAAATCTAGGGGAAGTACGGGAACAGGCATGATCGCACATGCTCAGTGTGCAGGAGAGCTCTGGAGGCAGTGAGGGGCTAATGCAGGAAAGGGGCTCTTAGGGTGTGCATTGCTGAGCTCAATGCCAGCAAGTCCTGCCCAAAATTACCAGAATGTACCTGAGGCTTCTCTCTGTTCCTAAAGAGCGGGGATGACAAATATACTGAACATTAACATGCTTTGTGAAACAATGTTTAAGACACCACAGAGATAGGCGTGGTGTGCTGGTATACACTTGCAATCCCAGAACTACAGAACTTCAGGCAGAAGAATCTTGTTTTTTTGTTGTTGTTGTTTTGTTTTGTTTGGGAGGGTACCATTCCTGGGCCTTGAACTCAGGGCCTGGACCCTGTATCTGAGCCTTTTTGCTGAAGGCTAGTGCTCCACCACTTAAGCTACAGCTCCACTTTTGGCTTTTTGATAGTTTTAAAGGGAGGTAAGAGTCTCATGGACTTTTCTGATAAGGCTAGTTTTCAACTGTGATTATCAGATCTCAGCCTCCTGAGTAGCTAGGATTACAGGTGTGAGCCACAGATGCCTGAGAATCTTGATTTTGAGACCACCCCAGGATACATAGCAAGACCTTATTACAAAACAAAATTACCCGTGCCCCCACTGTTAAATCTTAGCTACTTAGGGGACTGAGATGTGAGGATTACAATTCTAAGCCAGCCTGGGAAGACAAATTGAAGACTCTTCTCTAACTAGCAAAATGCAAAAGTGGAAGTGTGGGGCTGGGAAGGTAGCTCAGTGGTAAAGCGCTTGCCTTGCATGCCTGAGGCCCTGGGTTCGATTCCTCAGCACCACATAAGCAAAAAGAAAAAAGCCGGAAGTAGTGCTGTGGCTCAAGTGGTAGAGCGCTAGCCTTGAGCTGAAGAGCTGAGGGACAGCGCCCAGGCCCAGAGTTCAGGCCCCACGACTGGACCCCAAAAAAAAAAAAAAAAAAAGTGGAAGTGTGGCTCAAGTGGTAAAATGCCAGCCTTGAACAAAAAAGCCAAGCAAGAGCACAAGGCCTTGAGTTCAAGCCTCAGCACTGGCAAAATAAAAAAGCAGGCATGGTAGTATATGTCTATAATCCTAGCTACTAAGGAAGCAAGAGTTTAGGAAGATCATGGTTCCAGGCTAGCCTAGGCAAAAAGTTAAGATTCCCATTTCAATACAAAGAGCTGAACAAGGTGCATATCTGTGATCCTGGCTATGGTAGGAGACATAAATAGGAGGATCACAGTCCAGGCCAGACTGACTACAAATCATGACTCTAATTTCAAAAATAACCAAAGCAAAAAAGGGATTAGAGGTATAGATCAAGGTAGCAGAGTGACTACCTAGCAAGCACAAGGCCCAGAGTTCAAACTCCAGTATACTTCCTCAAAAAACATCACATAAAGACAACAGGAAGATCAAGTGTAACATAGCCCTCAATAAGATGTCATTGTGCAGAAAGTCTTTTCCTGTAAGACATGTTAATTTAAGGGCTTTCCTTGCCGTCACAAACTGCTGTAATTGCAGATGACAGAGAGACAATTAAATGAAAGCCTGAGCTGATTTAGTCTCCGGTCCCCAGAGCTCCCATTCCCCACAGTGCAGACTGCCCCCATCCCTCACCTTGTGCACGGATGCCCCCAAGCTAGCCAGCACAGACAGCACCTCGATGTCCACTTTTCGTGTATACGTCTGCCCTGAGATGATGAAAGCCCTGGAAGTAAAGATTTGTATTAACACATATCAAATCACGGTGGTCAGACATTAACAAACAGAGCCTAAAGGACAGCTTAGGTATGACTGGCCAGCCAGGAACATGGAGCCCAGAGGACCTGCTGCTAACTCACTCTCTACTGCCCTTTTCACTATCTTCAGGAAACTGTCCTGAGGAAGAAACATGGTCTAGAGTTCCAGTGTCCTGCCAAGAGTTCAATGACAGACCTGGGAGAAAAAGCCATGACAAAATCTAGTGGATCTCAAGAGAAATGGCCAGATTTAAACATGAGAACACCAGGGGGGGAAAAAAAATCAAAATAGTAATATGGTACGGGATGACCTGAAGAAATAGAAGAGCCAGGCACCAGTGGCTTATCCCTATCATCTTAGCTATTCAGGAGGCTGAGATCTGAGGATGGAAGCCAGCCTCTGTGAGACTCTTCATCTCCAATTAACCACCAAAAAGCTAAATGTGGCTCACATGGTAGAGCATAACCTGAACGCTCAGGGACAGCACCCAGACACTAAGTTCAAGCCCGAGGACTGGCACACACATACAAAAATAACAACAAAGCCTAAGCCAGAGAGAAGAGGAAATAGGTAGCAAAGCAAAGGAAGACCAAAAAATTATTATCAAATCAGAGATATACTAACATAGACCTGTCAAATTTAAGGAGGCCAGCTTTTCCTGAAGTGCTCACCTCTTAAATCCTGCCTTTTCTGTCACCATTTTGTCCAGCTGTTCTACCTTAGAGACAGAAAAGACACATTTGTACAGAAATCTAGTTAACAGAGTATCCCAACTGGTCATCTGGCCCAGACCTTGGCCCATCCTCCTCCCTGCAGCTTATCTGGGAGCAATCTCTGCTACACCCCTGGAAGGAGCATCATCTTTTGGGCTGCATTGCTGAAGTGATGTCCCAGATCACTTTGAGAATACCTTCTGGTGATCTCCCTCGAAGAGCTGCAGGAAGCTGGCCTGTGTGCCAGTGGTGCCCTTCACCCCCCGGAAGCGCAGGTCATTGCGGACCCTCTGCAAGTTCTGGAGATCCATGCAGAGATCCTGAATCCAAAGACAGCAACGTTTCCCAACTGTGGTTAGCTGAGCAGGCCTGAAACAACCAGAAAGGAACACACAAATCTCAAACCAAGGCATAACTTCATAAAGGCCTTCTAATAGCCACTGTTATCTATGGATAGAGGAACAATTTAAGTAAGAGTTATTGAAATAGTAAAAACAAAACAAGAACCAAAAGGTTTGAGAAAATCATTATTAAGGAGAATCAATACATTGTAAATCTAGTGGTGTTCTCATAAGAACTATTTTTTTTTCTTTCTGGTCATTGGGGTTGAACTCACGGCCCAGGCACTGCTCCTGAGCTCTTTTTGCTTAAGGCTAGCACTCTACTACTTTGAGCCACAGCACTACTTCCAGTGTTCTGGTGGTTAATTGGAGATGAGTCCCACAGACTTTCCTGCCTGGGTTGGCTTTGAACCACTATCCTTAGATCTCATCCTCCTGAGTTACTAGGATCATAGGAGTGAGTCACTAGCACCCTGCATGACTATTCTTTTTTTTGGTCGGTCATGGGGCTTGAACTCTGGGCCTGGACGCTGCTGCTCAGTTCTTCAGCTCAAGGGTAGCACTCTACCACTGAGCCACCTTTCCAGCCCTACTTTATTGTAACTATTTGACCTAATAAATAGTTCTTCCTGGGGCTGGGAAGGTGGCTCAGTGGTAGAGCACTTGTCTTGCATGCATGAGGCCCTGGGTTTGATTCCTCAGCACCACATAAGCAAAAAGCTGGAAGTGGCACTGTGGCTCAAGTGGTAGAGAGCTAGCCTTGAGCTGAAGAGCTGAGGGACAGCGCCCAGGCCCAGAGTTCAGGCCCCATGACCGGACCCCCCAAAAAAAAAATAGTTCTTCCTTCAAGAGGTGGGTTTTGTTGTTTTTCCTTTCAGCCAGAAGTATATTAGACAAGCTAAGGACCTTAAGGTTAAGGATGGTCTGGGCAGCTTCCAAAAAAAAAAAAAAAAGATTCACCCTTCCTCCTCTTTTTTTTTTTTTGGTCGGTCATGGGGCTTGAACTCTGGGCCTGGGCGCTGTCCCTCAGCTCTTCAGCTCAAGGTGAGCGCTCTACCACTTGAGCTACAGCGCCACTTCCGGTTTTCTGGTGGTTTGTTGGAGATAAGAGTCTCACGGTCTTTCCTACACGGGCTGGCTTTGAACCGCGATCCTCAGATCTCAGCCTCCTGAGTAGCTAGGATTACAGGCGTGAGCCACCAGCGCCCGGTTCCTTCCTCCTCTTTTAAACACTCTTATCACAGTCAGGCACTGGTGACTCATGCCTATAATTGTAGCTACTCAGGAGGCTGAGATCTGAGGATTGCAGTTTAAAGCCAGCCCAGGCTGGAAAGTCCATGAGACCCTTATCTCCAAAAATACCCACTCAGAAAACGGGAAGTGGAGCTATGACTCAAGTGGTAGAGTGTTGAAGATGAGTCTCAATCTTTCCTGCCTAGGCTTGCTTCAAAACAGATCTTAGCCTCCTGAGTGGCTAGGATTACAAACATAAGCCACTGCTGTCCAGCAGCAAGTTTTAATAACTCAGATGTCAGATGGAATTTCCCTCCTCTAAGGCCAATGGCCCTGGTAGCAGGCAACAGGCACACCCTAATCTCTGTAGGAGGCACCCTGAACACAAGCTACATGTAGTACATACCCAAATAGATCTTGTGGCAGTTATTGTTGAAGAATGTGATTTCTAACATGAATGCCATGAATATAGGAAATATGCTAACTGAAAGAAGCCAGCCACAAAAGGCCAGGAAGAGGCAAATTCATAGAGACAGGAACCAGGGAAGGAGAATGAGAGTGACTGCTATGTGGTACAGGATGCTTTTTTTTGAGGATGATGGAAACTAGTGGTAATGGTCATAGCACTCTGTAAAGATACTAAACTTTTTAAAAGGGTGAATTTCATGGCAGATGAATTATATCTCAGTAAAGCTTTATATCTGCAGAGAATGATACACCGAAGCAAAGCCCCTGCATCAACACCATTTCCTGCTGCTAATGTATGCTAACTGTGGAGGCCAAAGCCTCTCAGAAATCATTCACCAGATGAGCGCTAGATGCCTCTGCCTCCCCCAGACATGGGAGAGGAAGGAAGGAAAGGTACAAATCAGAGGAATTTTGAAGGGCACGAAGGCTGCAGAGAAAGCAACATCCACCAGTCAGGCCAGACACCCTGACTACTGTACATGAGCAACCTCTTCAGGCTTCTGCTACTAATGGTAAAGGCCCTAATTTTCAGGAAGCTTAAATTCAACAGAAAAGTTATTAGATGATAGACCTGCTGTATAAAGTGACTTAGTAGTAGAGTGCTTGCCTAGCATGCATGAGGCCATGGGTTTGATTCCTCAGTACCACATACACAGGAAAGGCTGGGAGTGGTGGTGTGGCTCAAGTGGTAGAGTACTAGCCTTGAGCAAAAGAAGCTCAGGGACAGTGCCCAGGCCCTGAGTTCAAGCCCAAGACTGGCAATAAATAAATAAATATATAAAAAAAGCAGATGGTATCATATCAATACATGCATTCCTCAAACACCTATAGTTAGCATTGCAATAGTAATATCAGCTTTTAAAAACAGCTTTTATTCACTAATCATGAAAATACTTGCACATTTTTAAAAAATCAAAACTTGCTGGGAGCTGGTGGTTCACACCTGTGATTCTAGCTACTCAGGAGAGGCTGAGATCTGAGGATTGCGGTTTAAAGCCAGCCTGGGCAGAAAAGTCCATGAGACTCCTTATCTCCAATTAACCACCAGAAAACCAGAAGTGGCACTGTGGCTCAAAGTGGTAGAGTGCTAGCCTTGAGCAAAGGAGCTCAGGGACATCATGCCCCATAACAAACTTACCCTCCCCCGCCCCCCAAAAAAGGACTGTGAGCCAGGCATGGTGGCTTGCGCCTATAAACACTAGGATGAGGATAGTGATTCAAAGCCAGCTTCAGTTTAAAAAAAAAGTCTGTGAGACTCCCTTTGCAAAATAACTTGCAAAAAGCAGAGCTGGAGGTGTGACAAGTGGCAGAGAGGCAGCCATGAGCAAGCCAGCCCAGTGAAGAGTGAGGCCTCAATTTCAAACCCCAGTACTAACAAAACAACAACAACAAATGCAAATAAACAAATGCGAACACTATGGCTCTTGAGACATATTTACACATATTTCCTAAGTCAGCTGCTAACCTCAGCAGTATAGCTTTTGATGTTGGGGTCTCAGATCAGCCCATGCTAGTCTAGAACTTGTGGGCTAAAGCTATCCTCCTCTTCAGCCTGGGTAGCTGGGACTACAGGTATGGACTGGAGCACATAGCTTCATTGTCATTTGTGTGTGTGTGTGTGTGTGTGTGTGTGTGTGGCGGGGGCGGGGTGTACAAGTCGTTTTCAGAATAATGAACTTTACGCCTTTTGCCCACCCGTCCCAGGGGCCCGTGTGGGGGGGGCGGGGGGGGGGGTGTTGCTGGAAATTGAACTCCAGGCTCTAGCATGCTAGATACAGCCTGCAGCAAAACTTCTAAGGTGGGTATTAAGCTCATTTCTCATCAGTACCCCAAGTTATCTGCTTATGTTTTGAGCTTCTTTCTCTTAAGTTTACTATGGAAATGGGAGATCTGAAAGCTGCATGCTCATACGTAACCACTTACTGGTAATGTGTGAAGCCTAAGGTAGGTAGATCTGAGCGCTCCTTGGCAAAGTCAGCGAGTCGAGAGATCACTCTGGCAAGCTACAGGCAACACCACAGGGTAGAAAGAGGTGAATTCATAAGAGTCCATTACATAATGACAGATCAAACTTTCAGACAATATTACATGAAATGAGCCCTGTATAGCTCATGGAATGCAGCATCCTTATCCTTTCTCTTTGTATCTGCAGGTGCCCTGATCAGGGTTCATAGCAATCAACATTCAAAAATGGATTCAACTACTTAAACTACTAAGACCATTGCAGAATAACAGGACAAAGTCATAATCCTGACACATAAATTCTTGCAACATGTTTCTGGTTGCACTTCCTTTATTTAAAAGGCTATGTTTTGCCAAGCACCAGTGGCCCATTCATATATAGAAGGCTGAAATCTGGAGGAACACAATTCCAGGCTAGCCCAAGTAAAAAAGTTTGCTAGACTTCTATCTCCAAAATAACCAGCAAAGGCCTTGTTAGAGCACCAGTTGTGAATGAGAAAGCTAAAAGAGGCCCTGAGTTCAAGCTCCAGTACTAGCATGAAAGACTGCAAGCATGGCTCAGGTGAGAGAATACCAATCAGCCTTGTAAGAATGAGGCTCTCTGTTCAACCCTACACCATCAAAAAGTAAATAGTAAAAGGCTATGTTTTAAAAAGAATTCACTACTATATTACCCCAAAAAAGAAACTATTTTTTCCACAAATTACATAGTCATGTTGAATAAATGATTATATAGATTATATAGTCTGATGTTGCTGATTAAGTCATAATTGGAGACCCATCTCTTAACTACAGGGACTGGAAGCTGGTATCAAACTTATGCCAAACTCTTACCTTGGGCAAAAGTAGGTCAAACGCATTTCTAAGAATGATCAGGTCCTGCAAAGGAAAATGCAATGGCCATGAACAGCTCTGTCAAACCTTGTTATTATACAATACTTTCTGGCCATCACAATTGGGTCACACCTCAGCAGGCAGCCTATCTCATTCCTAACAACCCAGAAATGCTAATAGAGGATGTTTTCTAATGATGATTTCAAAAGCACAGTAAAGTATGCTGTGGTATCTAAAGTGATTGAAAATGTTAAGCTGGCACCTGTTAAGTTTACACCTGTAATCTTAACCACTCAGAAGGCCGAGATCTGAGGATTGGGGTTTGAAGCCAGCCAACCCAGGCAGAAAAGTCCCCCTGAGCTTCTTGTCTCCAATTAACTACTCAAAAACTGGAAGTGGAGCTGTGGCTCAAAGTGGTAGAGTGCTAGTCTTGAGTGAAAAAGCTCAGGATCAGTATCCAGGCTCTGAATTCTAGCCCATCGACAGACCAAAAAAAAAAGTGCAATGTTACAAGGCTTCCATCTTTCCAGAAAGGAGCAGCTGAGTCTCTGAGAAACTTCCATTAGTTTCTTCCTCCTTTTTATTCTCATCTATAGTTGTTAATAAGGGAAGGCATGACTCAGAACAAGGGTTAAAAAAAGTTGAAACCATTGTTTTGTTTTTGTTTTTTAAAAAAACTCTGTCCCTCACCCCCAATGTCTATTAGACACTTATTTCCAATTAGCCACCAAAAAGCTTGAAGTGGAGCTATGGTTCAAGTGGTAGAGTGCTAGCCTCGTGCAAAAAAGCTCAGTGATAGCACCCAAGCCTTGAGTTCAAGCCCCAGGACTGGCACAAAAAAAGTGAATAAAATATAAATAAAAATATATATCTTATGGTATTTGTGAAAAATAAATCAACACAGTATATATGTATTCATTGTACAGGAAATAAATACACAGTATCAGAGCCATCTGGTAAACTTTCAGGAAAATGCTTGCTATTACTCTTCCATGTTTTGCACTAATCAAAAAGTTCATTTGACAATAATAAATATAATTCATCTTTCCATTCAGAAGCCATAGCCAAGTTATAAAGGCCACTGGAAAGAAAAATACATTAGGAAATTTAAATGAATTTATAAATGTATGATAAAGATTGAGTCCTAATATAAACAACACAAGATCCTACTGTATTGTCTCCAACATAACAGGAGGTAGCACCAAGGTGAATAATGCCTGCGGCTTTTGGACAGCAGTGGCCAAAGGTGTGCACATGAGCCATGACATCATGTCGCAACTGTTTCTCTTCTTCGGCTGCCATCTTGAAGTCGATGTTGTCCAGGTTTGCCTTCATCTCCTGGATTTGTTCATCTGTGATAGGCAAACCCAATGTCTGCAGAATAAGTAAAATAAAGCCAAAAGTCTATGTTGCAATTGTATGACGTGACAGAAAAAAAAATGTTACAGAGTACCCAAGTGGTCAAATCAATTAAAATTTCAGCAACCAGGCTCAAAGTACAGTGTCTCTACTTGTATGGGGTTAGGAGAAAGGTGAGGAATCAAGGTAAATTATATTCTAAGTGAATGGTGGTGTGTCTATCGGGACTGTGACTGGTCCTGTCTCGCTAACTCCTCTTGTCTTGCTGTTTCCCATATCTAATCCCTGAGCTCAAGGGTCATCTATTCAGGGATCTTCTGACATCACCGTAAAACACTCCGTGTCACTCTACTCCTTTAGCCTGGTTTTATTTAGAGCATTCATCACCACCTGATATTTGTACATATTCACCTACCTATCCCCCTGGAAAGTACACTCTGTGAGAGGAGACCTTTACTGTACTTATTATTTAATCTCTAGTGGTTGGCACAGAATGCCCCAAAGGGTGACAGTTTTACAACTAACCTAGATGAATGCACTCTGAAAAACTAAAATTAAGAATTCTGTAAAGGTCTGTCATCCCAGAACTCTCGAGCGCGAGACAAGAGGAACCTAAGGTCAAGGCCACTCTGAGCAGCAGAGACACTACGCATGTGCATCTGTGCATCTCTGTGGCTGTCTGACACACACACACACACGCGCACACGCACGCACACACACACGCGCACGTACACACACACACACGCGCGCGCACACACACACGCACACACACACACACACGTGCAGGTAGTGGAGCCCGAACCAGCAGCTCGACCCCGGGCGCCCCGCCGCCCGCCCTCTGCCCCGCACGCGGGCGCCCGCCTCTCATTCCGTTACCTGCTCGGCCTCCGCCAGCCACAGCCACAGCTGCCGCCACGTCCGGAACTTGTACCTGTCGCTAAACACGAAGCACATCTCCGGGCTGGCATAGCGGGAGGAGAGCGGGGAGCGGTAGCCGTCGGGCCCGCAGACGTCGCCACCAGCCGCCATCCCGGGAGGCGACGAGGGTCGTGAGGGCGGAAGCGGAAGGGCAGATGTGGGGTGGGGCGGGACTAGGCTGCGGAAGTCCCGCCCCCTCGAGGTTCACGGTGTCGCCTATGCCACCCCAGGGCTGTGCAGGCTGAAGCTGGGACACTGCTGCTGAGCTCTGAGCTAGAGGGAGACCTTGTCTATTAAACAAAAAAAAAAAAACACCCCACCAAGCCAAAATGCAAATTCAGCAATTCAGCCATGTCTGGAACACTTAGGAGGCCTGCAACGAGAGAACTTAACTTCCGACTCCTTTCTTGGGCCCACAAGTTAAAAACTCCGGCATCTCTGCCTTCACTTTTGCATGTCTCCTTTGCCTCGGAGCCATCCTGTCCTGCAGTCACCAGGGATCCTGGTGAGACCGAACTGACCGACTTTATCAGGGGCTAGCCTGACACACCTGACCAATCCGAGGTAATGATCAGACCACCGCTTACTTATGCCTCTCCAAGCGTTCCGCCTCAGGCCTTACCCTGAAGATGCTCTCTCCTTTTCCACTGCTATGTCCCACATTATATCAATCTCATTTCTCTGACCTTCAGTATCTTTAATTGACATGTTAGGATTGGGACTTTTCCCCAAAACTCAGATAACATGCCCTATATGTTCCAATGGCTAATTATATGGCCAACTACTCCACCTCATTTCTACATTGCAGTTCTGGGGAGAAATACCAAGAAAGGGCAGCATTTAATACTTTTCTAGTGAGCCCCTGGAGTCAAACTACAGTAGAAATAGGTTTCATCCATAGCTTCCACGTGAGTGACTTGCTCAGTCACCTAGCCAGTAAGCAGTCATCTGCAAAGGCAACCAGTTCTTTGGCCTTCCAGTCCTCTCTCTTGCCTCTGCTTAACCTTGCTTTCTGTGACCTTTATCCCCTGAAAATAGGATTTCTGCCTCCACTCCTCCCTGCCTTTTCATTTAAGTATTTTACTCCTTCACTTGTTTTATCTGGAATCCTTAACCTCCTCATTGTAACTTCTCTTCTGATTTTTTTTTTTTTTTTTTTAGCATAGGGCCTTCTCCTTATAGAATTAGCTTCACTTGCCCTGGTATTTTTGTAACATGCCCCTTTCCTGGCTGTCTTCTCACGAACCATTCCTGGCATTGTTATGTCTTAAGTTCTGTTACTTGGCAGGTTATTTCATCTTTTGGTTTCACTCACCTGTAAAGTGTAGTTGATGACCCCAGGAGTAGAGTCAGGTATGATGGCATACCTACCTCCTTACCTGAGACTCTGAGGGGCAGTTTGTCTCTACCCTGTTTAAGTTCTTAGAACTGCCATGTTCCTCTTCCTCCTAATAACACTCACTGATCACCAATATTCTTGCCTAGTAGTCTAATCAAAAGCCCCATAAAACATTTGTTTTTCCACCTCCGCATAAAGAAATACCCTGTCTAGCCAGGTGCTGGTGGCTCACACCTGTAATCCTAGCTACTCAGGAGGCTGAAATCTGAGGATCAAGGTTCAAAGCTAGTCCAAGCAGGAAAGTCTTATCTCCAATAAAGCCCTAGAAAACTGTAAGTGGCGCTGTGGCTTAAGTGGTAGAGCACTCTCCTTGAGCTGAAGAGCTGAGGGATAGCGTCCAAGCCCTAAGTTCAAAAAAAAAAAAAAAACTACTATCCTGTCTGTGGAGGGTCAGGGACCAAAACACAGGTAGCAAACCTTCCCACTGTACATCTTAATGGCACTTTGAATTTTGCAACAAATAGCTTTTTTCTTTTTCCTGTACTCATTCATCACTCCTGACTTAAGTCCTTAGCATTTGGACAATCTTCCTCCTTCCTGACCACTGCTTTTCCTCCCTCCCCCCTCTTGCTTTTGGAAGAGTGGTTCCTCCCTTGGGGAAGCACAGGCACAGCTGCGAGGCTTACCTTCTGCGTTCTGTCCCAGGGTCCCCTTGAAGCAGCACTGAAGGTCACCCAGACACTTCCATCTAGCTCTTTCTGTTACCTAAAGCAACACTTAAGATGGGAATTTTACTTTTCCCAATTTGCTTTTGTGGCTCAATTCACTGGACAGACATGCGTTTTTCTATTCCGGATGTAACACTCTGCAGCCCACTGGGATGATTCATTCTACGATATCTACACTGAAGTGTAATAGGCACTAGGATGCACTGGGTTGGAGTAGAGAGGTCAAAGGTGAGACCAGGAGCAAGTGACTTTGGGGAATTCAATAGAACTGAAATGCTTGTTGAAAATCTGTATTTTACTCTAAGCAGTGGGGAACCCTACCCCCTGCCCCCCAAACAGGGATGACCCCATCAGATTTCTGTTTTGTTTGACAAGGATCATCCTAGTTATTATGTATGAACTGGAATGGGAAATAAACAAAGGACTGGGAGAAGGGCATCTGGGGTGAGAAAACAGCTGAGCTGATGCAGTAAGAAGACCTAAAGGTAGGTGGTCTTGCAGTACAAAGGCCAAAAGAAGCAGAAGAATAAACATTAAGGACAACCAATCAGGTCGCTGTAAATAGTAAGGGGAATAGAAGAGGCAGAATCAAAGACATTCCTATTTTTGGGTTTTATAATTGGTGATACCAGGTAGCAAGAGTCAAGACGCAGGGGATAGACAAGAACAAATTTTGTCTTGGATTAACTGAGTTTGCAGGATAGCCAAGTGCTTCAAAATGTTCTACACATAATTATGTATACATGACTGGAGCTCAATGGTAAAGATTAGAAATATAAACATAGGGGGCTGGGAAGATAGCTCAGTGGTAGAGCGCTTGCCTTTGCTTGCATGAGGCCCTGGGTTCAATTCCTCAGCACCACATAAGCAAAAAAGAAAAAAGCTGGAAGTGGCGCTGTGACTCAAGTGGTAGAGTGCTAGCCTTGAGCTGAAGAGCTGAGGGACAGCGCCCAGGCCCAGAGTTCAGGCCCCATGACTGGACCCCCCCCCCCAAAAAAAGAAATATAAACTTAGAAGTCACTAGCATATAGATAATTATCAAAATAGAGCTTGGTGTAGTGGGAATCCTAGCACTTGGGGAGGCTTTTGAGTTCAAGAAGGGTTTTGAATTCAGAAATTTCAAATTTCAAATTCAGGGTAGAGGGGTGAGGGGAGTTCACTTCAAGGGTTCAGGGGACTGAGAGCAGCTTGCCTGGGGTTTGTGAACAATGGAGTTTGTATCTTAGGCATTATAGGCACAAGTTATGGTTGCTTTGCGGGCACCCGTGGAGAGTGGTGGGGAAGAGAAGGGGTGCAGATGATTAGAATGCTACTGCAGCGCTCCTACTGGGCAGAAGAGACTAGTAGAGCCACCAAGAGCTGGTGGTGGAGATAGGAGCTCTCAAGTCACACCAGCAGTGTAAAGCTGCAAGACCTGCTGGCTGAGGCCACATGGAGGTATTTGAACTGGACAAGCTGAGACAGAAAGATGGGGGTGGGGAGCGAGTAGTTTGACCAAGAAGGTGGAAGAATTTGTCAATGACTCTTAAAAGTAGGGGATAAGAGCCTTTGATCCCAGCTACTCAGGAGGCTGAAATCTGAGGATCACGGTTTGTAGCCACACCAAGCAGACAAACCTGAGAGACTCATCTCCAATGAACCAGCAAAAACTTGGCAGTGGAAGTGTGGCTCAATGGGTAGAGCACCAGCCTTGAGCACAAAAACTAAGAGCATAAGACCGTAAATTCAAGCCCCAGTATTGGCACAAAAATAGAAGAAAAAAAAAAGTAGGATTACAGGTGGCTAACACCTGTATTCTTAGCCCTGCAAAAGTCTGAGGATTGCGGTTTGAAGTCAGCCTGGGTGCTTTTGGATTTTAGCAGAAAGTGGAAATTTTATCATACAGGTGTCAAGGAAGAGAGGGGAAAGGGATTTATGGGTGTTGACAAGTATACTAACAATATGCTTGCCTATTATTGACTAATTTAGTTATTCTGATGAAATGCATTTGCTATCTCAAATAGCATTCTGAGAATTAAATCAGATACAGAAGCATATCTGATACATTTTCATTCCAGCAGCTACCAGTTAAGACTGGGTGGAGATGGAAAAACCTAGCTCAATGGCTAAGGCTGGACTGTGCCTCAGCACCCATAGGCAGGAGGAAGGCACTCAGTGTGGCATTTTCTGAACAAAAGTTAGCGGGCTTCTCCTGTCTTCTCTTCTCCACCCTAGCGTTCTCACACAAATGCAAGATCATAGGCAAAGGCAGAAGAATATAAATTTCTTTTGGAAAATCTGAGCCCTGCCCTGCAGCAGGTGGTCACGGTTAGCACTGAAGCAGACAGCAAGCAGCTAGCAACAACCCTATGGACAAGCAGAATAAAAAGAGCAGATGAACAAAGCTGAGCCCTAAACACAAAGGCAGGACTGCTGACTTTCCTCCTTGTGTAATAGGAAGAGAGGGAGGGAGCGAGGGAGGGAGAGAGAGGAGAGAGAGAGAGAGAAAGAGAAAGAGAAAGGGAGAGGTGGGGGGAGAGGGAGAGGGAAGAGGAAGAGGAGGAAAAAAGAGAAGCAATCAGCAAGTGAGCAAATTAAATTGGTAGGAAAAAAAAAAAAACCAGGAAACCACAATAGTAAATGCTTAGCAGCCAAACACATTTATTAGTCTTTTTTCTTTTTTTTTTTTCCAGGAACCCAAAAATATTTTGTAGTTATAATGTAAGCAACTGAGTTGCACATAATACAATCATATCTTTCCAAAATAAAATAAAAATAAAAAACTAAACAAAAACAAAAATAAGCTGTTTAAAAGCCCAAAAAAACCCTTCAGAAAACTCTTATATGCATTACATCATCTCTCAGTTTTAATGAAATGACGACGACTTAATTCCTTATTACTCAACCTGTCACAATCCAATCAAACACCACCCTTCAGTTTTTTTTGTTTGTTTTTGATATATAGATATTTTTTGAAATCCAGCATGAGAAATACAGTACCTGCTATGGCAAAAAATACACAGAAAATGCAACTTTTCAGCTTATTTGTACATTAGTAGAGTTTAACATTTTATTGTTTTTTTTTAAGTG